CAAAATGAAGTAAATTGATAAAATATTACTCAAATGTATATTACATCTGCAGGACTTTTGTATTGAAAATATAGGTCACGTTTTGTTATAGCCCTCATGTAATGGTACCTCCCGATATTCGGAATGTTGATGATTTTAGCGACATTATTCATCGGAATTGTTTCAAATTCGGTGTTTGAAGTTCGTAGTGGATACCACAGCCTAAGACGGAAAATTGTCTGTGCGGGTTCCTTTCTACGTATAGCCCCCATATAACGTATTTAAAATTCGTAATGGATACTACAGGATAGGACAGAAAATGTTCTGTGTAGGTCCACGACTTCGTATAGCCCCCATATAACGGTACCTACCGATATTTTGTATTTTGATGATTTTAGCGACACTATTCAGCGGAATTGTTTCAAATTTGGTATTTGATGTTCGTAATGGATACCACAGCCTATGACAGAAAATTGTCTGTGCAGGTCCACGTTTTGGTATAGACCTATATATTAGTACCTCCTTATATTCGGTGTTTTGATTATACAGATCCACGTCGTCCTAAAAGACCCTAATATACCGAATAATTTTTAAGATTATAACAGAATTTTTAACGGATTTTATTTGCCAAATTCGTTCCAAATGTGTATTTAAAGTTCGGCCCGGCCGAACTTACAGCTTTTTTACTTCTTATTAATTACATCCAGAAACCAGTAAAGAAAGTCCTAAAGTCGGGCGGGCTGACCTTATGATACCCTACACAACTTTGCTAATTTAGTAGAGCTCCACATAACAATTAATTTTTTTATGGGAGAATTCCAAGTTCAAAGGACTAAATATGCCGAAGTATTTGTGTCTTTTAAATTCGGACTTGTATTGCCCATTTGGTGCACAATTAATTTGAAATCAGATAAAGATATATATGGGAGCTATCTCCAAATCGGAACCGATCTCGATAAAATTTGTCAGAGATATTTCTGAGCTGTATTTGATATATTTCCCTGAATATTGATGTTACGGAATGCATATTACGGCTGTGGGTAACAAATACAACAAATCGGATGAACAATATATATGGGAGCTATAGCTATATCTGAACCGATCTTCACCAAATTTGACATACTACCTTCTAGACTCAATTTGGTCGTATGTGCCAAATTCCATCCCATTTGGGCAAATATTAGACGTTTGGTGCGCAATAAAATGTAAATCGGACCAAGTTATATATGGGAGCTATATTCAAATCTGAACCGATCTCGATAAAATTTTAGCAAAGATATTTCTGAGCTGTATTTGATATATTTCTCCAAATATTGTTGTTACAGAGTGCATATTACGGCTGCTGAGGACAAAAATAACAAATTGGATGAACAATATGTATAGGAGCTATAGCTATATCTGAACCGATTTCGATCAAATTTGGCATACTTATTTTCAGGCCTAATTTGGTTGAATGTGCAAAATTCTATACTATTCGGACTGATATTACACATTTGGTGCACAATAAAAGGCAAATCGGACGAAGATATATATATGTGAGCTATATCTAAATTTTTACCGATTATCTCCAATTTCCTTGGGCCAAACAAGTGTTGTTTGGAAAATTTCATCTCAATCGGATAATAAATGCGACCTGCATTTTGTTCACAAGAATACATGGACAGACGGACGGATAGATGGACTGAAATGCATAAATCAACGCAGAAAGTGATTCTATGGAGATCCTCAAAAGTAACTATGGGTCTATCTCACTTCCTTCTCCATGTTACAAACGAATGCACAAAGACATAATACCCTTACCACTATGTGGTGTAGGGTATAAAAACATGGGAAGTTTACTTTTGCCCCACCCTGTATATATATTTATTATACATTTTTTTAATTGGCCAGAGCTGCTTAACCTGATTAGTTTGCTCGGCATATTAGTTCTACTACCGTGGGGTTATAATATCGCTAGAGACGGTGAAACATAAAGTTTAGATAGAACTTGCTGAAATTGGTCTTCGCCTAGCCACTAAAATGACAGCTAATATACCTGTAGAAATGATTCGGTAGATTCCAATTTTCAATGCCATCTTAGTTCATAAATTTGGAACTTTTTTCTATTCTGTCTTAAACCCCTAATCGCGGAACCAGTTACGAGCAAATGTCCAAAATAAAAAGTCAAATATGTGTTCTTTTTCAAAACTCATTTATTGGTAATTTTTTTCATTGTTTTTGAATAATATAAAAATATATGTATGTATATAATATTCTTACAACTACTTTTTTGCGTATAAAAATAAACTATATTCTTCAAGTCTTTTTATATATATAAAAAATATACACTTAATTTTAACTTTAATATTAATGGATTGATTATAAAATAGTATCACATATAAGAAATTTATTTACAAATGTTTCCATGTTTGACAAGATTGTTCTGGTTGTTTTTGTTGAATGCTAAAAAAATACTATGACGGTAAAAAATGTTGTTGTTGTTTTTTTTTTTTTTTTTTTGTATGACTTGTGTAAACATATGTATGTACAGAGATATGATTGTGTGTGTTTGTTGATGCGTTTTTTTGGAATATTTGAAAATATTATGTATAGAAAAATATATAAAATGTTTAGATCTTTTTTGTTTCTTAACCAAATTTGTAATATTATTGTTTTAAGGAACAATAATGTTGTGATATATTGTTGTTGTTTGTGTTTTCTTAATATTATATTTTTTAAAGTACACAACCGCATTATTTTCTTAATATTATTATTATTTTTTTTTTTTTTTTGAGATTTTTATAAAAAATATATTTTTTTCTTTTCTATTTTTCATATTTTTTTGTATATTGTACTGTTGTTTATAAGGTCCAGTGTTTTCATTTTTTTTCTTACCTTTTAACTTAATTATTAATGGTAGTGTTTTTATGTAGCTGGTGGTTTTTTCGAGATTATTATAATCTTAATTAAAATATTTAAAAATAAATCCTAAAATAAATTAATTCAAATTACAGATTTGGTGTTGAGAATATTTTTGAAAATATTACAGTTTTTTAGTACATACAACACCAATGTTGCACATTTGAATGGAATGACTAGAGTTCACACTCGTTTTTGTTTCTTTCATAATTGAAAAATTATTTATATAAATATATCATAAAAACTATAACCTTAAAAATTAATACTGCACAAAATTTGCCTGATTTTGAATTTTTTGGGAGAAATTAAATTTGCTGTTTGCCTAATATTATTGACTGAGATCTTATGAAGCTGATTGTTTTTTTTTTTTTCAGATTTTTTTTTTGGTAATCCTAAATTAAACTGCACATTTTTAGCCTGTTTGTTTTGGGGGGAAAATTCCAAATTGGAAATTTTGAAAATTTTATCTAAAAGTATCTTAAATCATTAAAATGAGATCATATGTGAAATATATAGACAAGTTTTTAATGAATTACTTAAAAAAGAAATAATTGCTTTGGAAATTTCCATTCTAAAAGGATTGAAGTTGAAACACAGAATTTGCCAAAAAAAAATTGTTGTTGTTATTTAAATTTGGTTCTTGTTCTTTTGTTGGAATATTTTTCTTTTTCAATTAAAGACTAGGCTTGGAAATGTTATTTTCCTGACTAGAAATAATGCCGATCCTATGACTAAAAACTAGAATTCCTATTAATTTTTAAAATAGTGACTAGTTAGAACTTTGGTTTGAACTGTGAAAAATCTTCAACAATGACTAGAATCCTTTCTTCTTTGGTTCAGAAAATTGTTTAGCTTAATATAAGTTTAATTTCAAATAGAATGTTCAAAATTAATTTATAATTTTAGGAATTTTGTGGGAATTTTTTATCTCTTCTAAAAATTATTGATTTCCTATTTTTTTTTTTTTTTTGAAGTTTTAACGTAATTTTAGGATTTTTTTTTGTTTTGATTTTTTTTAAGTATTTTCCTTAATTTTGTTACTGTTTTTATTTAAGGGAAAATATTACAAAAATTTGGAATTTAAATTATTTCTTCAAAAAATTATCAATTTTCCTGATTATTTGTTGGGTTATATTTCAGTATTATTTTTATGATTTTTTGTCGTTTTTATCAACATTATATAATTTAAATTAAAACTGGAATCAAAACTGTTTTTTGATTTTTGGGAAATTTGCAGTAGTTTGGAGATATGAAAGTAATTTAATTGAAAATTTTAGAATTTTAAAAAATCTTTAAATTTAGAAAAGAGGGATTTATGATGTTTTTTTTTTTTCAAAAAATTTTTAAATTTTTTTTCTGTACAAATTGAGATGTAGGAGAGAATGTTTCGGGCCCGAAATTAGTCAGCCTGTATTTCTCCTAAAATTTTCTTGTTCAAATACAAAAAAAAAAAATAGTTATGTGAGTATGGGGTACTTGGTATTTTTGACTAGAAATTAACTCCCAATGGCAACTTAACCTAATGACTAGAACTTTCGCTCATCTTTTGTGATGTTTTGTGCTGAAACCTTCCTAAAACTAATGACTAGAGTGTTCACTCATTCTTTGGTTTGAAAAATCATCTAAACTAAATTAAAAATTACAATTGTTTTGAAAAATATCCCAAACTTCAATCTTTCCCATTTTTATTAGGGGAAATTTCCAAAACTGTAAAAATAAATTGCAATATGAGACAATTTAATGCCATGATAAAAATCATTGCGAACTAAATCTAAAAATCAAATCTTTGGTTTGGAAAATTTAGCTGTAGTTGAAATTTTGTATCTAAACAAATAATTTTTACAAAACTTAATAATTAAACATAACCTATGAAATTACACCATAAAAAAATATAAACAAAAGGGCAAAAAACTTGCAGGGTGTAAACTAAACATTTTTCAAATAAAAAAATAAATATTTCAATAGGGAAAGTATAAATTGCATTTTACCCTTCTTTTGTGCCACCACACAAAACTAAAAAAAAAATGAATTTAAAAAACCCTTACTTCCAATTGGAAATGCATGAAACAACAAATAAAAACGAAACAACCCTAGACAACATAATTATATACAACGACAACAAATTAGATGATTGATAAAATATAAACATACATTTCACCTGTTATTGCAAATGTATGACACCACCTTCATCCACCTCAGGTAAATCGTTTAATGCTTGATTGCCAGTAATGACACCTTCCATTGCAGACATCCCTAAAACTATGCTTCATTTTCAGGCCAACTAATGCGCCAACGTAGTGTGCTGTATTACCGAAGCACAATTGCGTAAATTCGTTAAGGCTGCCGCTGCAATGTTTTCCTCTTCGGTCAGACCGGTTTCCACAATTTGCAAACGGCCATAATGATGCGAAGAGGTGGTACTGTAACCTGACATGGAATCGTCCTCATCATGATCCTCATCGTGATGAACAGCAACAGCAGAAGATGACGAATTTGAGGAATTTGTAACATAAACAACTTCTTCGCGATTGGGTGAAGCTTGGGGACTTCCATCGTGTGGGTTCAGACTTTGTATGACAGGTGTAACGACAGCAGTTTGTGGCGAATTCTGCCTCTTTTGGTGGGTCATTTCGTGTTTCTTCAAATATGCCTGGCGCTTGAATTTCTTGCCACATTCTTGACACTCGTAGGAGGTATTGCCTTCGGCAGCATTTTCATTTTCCGATTTCTTGGTGGCTGTTTTCTTTTCACGATTTGTTGTTGCTGCAACATTTGTGTCCTGCAAATTCTCTCCAGCCGCCTGGGGCTTACGTGGCTTATGCCATCTGCGATGTGAGGCCAAATTGGCAGGACAATTGAATTGCTTGCCACATTCCGGGCAACGGTACTCCAGCAGAACAATGCAGGCACAACGATGTTGGGCCAGACCAAAGGCATCATCGAATTTAATACGACACAGGCGACAGATATAATCGCCAATGACATTTTTGATGGCAGCCAATTCGGCCTTAGTCTCTTCGGTTATTTCCACAATGTTGTACTTCGGATCAATGTCACCATTACTATATTGCACTGAACCATCGGTTATATCTTCTAGGGGGCGTATAATGGTACCCGATACCGGGGAACTGGTTTCTTCGTCAAATTTCAGTTTGCGTGTAGCCTTGTGGCTGCGTGACGATTTCGGTTGGGACGCGGCATTTTTGGAAGTTTTGGGAGCAGTATCTGAAGTCTTAATGGGCTGCTTGGCTGGGGTTTGTTCCACCAAAGGCTGTTTTTGCACTGACGAAATATTTTCCAATTTGGCCAGCTTTTGTTGATTTTCCTTGAATTCCACCTCGGTATCCAAATCGGATTCAGAGAACTTCCTCTTGTGGTATGGTGTCAAGGGTGGTGTAATGGGTTTATTGTGCTGTCGGTCCTCCACCTGGGAATCTGCATTGGCCAAACTAGAGCAGATTTCCTCCACAATATCTTCGCTGGCCTGGGATTGGGTATCGGAGCAGGGATCGGTATAGACTTCGGTAAAATTAACCGCCATTGGTACTTCACTTTCGGGATTGGGTGTGGTTTGGGGACTGGTGGTGTGGTTGGTTTGTGGCGACAATGGCTTCACCGATAAATCCAAAGGAATCTCAGTTTTGGTTTGGATTTTCAAATAGCGGGCACGATATTTTGGGGGTAGTGATGCCACAGTGGTCAATAAACCCAGGCCATGGGGCATGCCACCAAAACTGTGGCCATGCAACACCTGCAGACTGTTGTTGTGGTGCAGAGCCGGTTGGTGGTGGTGATTTTGATGATGCGTTTGTTGTTGTACAGCAGCCATTTTGTGGGTTTCACGTTTTCACTTTTTTTGCAAAATCTTTTTTGAAACTGTATTTTTCTTAAGAGTTTTCACTTTTTTTTTCAAATATTGCAAAGCCAAAAATTATACAAAAATCGAACTGAACTATAAAACTTAGACATCGAATATTGTGCGAAGGTAGAATCGAGAGTGTTTTTTTTTTTTTTATTTTTGTTGGTTGGGAACTTAATTTAAACTTAACGAAAATATTTTTAACAAAACGTTGATGAAACGAACAAAACAAAAAGAGATTGAATTTGAATTGGGTGGTATTGTGCTCTTCTCGTTCGTTGTGCTCTATGCGACGTTCAGGCTAAGAATGACTAACAATTTCGAATGTCTGGCATTTTATATCCATGGCAGACGTTCGCTGCCCCTAAGGACAGAGGGTGGTGTTGAACCCTTAGTTAGTAGACAGCGTTGAAATCCCAAACAAATGCAGGGAAAACCCTCTGGTTGTCATTGTTAACGCGAGTTAGAATACAACGACCTTCCAACCAGACAAAATTTACAAACACTCACAGACAAGCGTCTGTGTTTGTGTGTGTGTGAGTTGTTGTAAGGATTTTCAACCCCATTTATTTTTGGTGGCAAACAATGTTGTCCTTTTAGCCAGACAACTAGTGAGCCACACAAATCCACTCACACACACACATCGATAGCTAGGCAGTAGTCGGTATTTGGTATTCGCCTAATATTAGTCACCCTTTTGCATCCCCCCAAAATCAAATCAAATTCGTACACACACACACACGCAAGCAAACAAACAAAAGAATTCTGTCGTCACAATAATGTTGTTGTTATTTTTGTTATTGTTGATTACGGCTCCTTTTGTGCCGAGAGAATAGAAGCCGGCGTCAGTGAAAGTCCTTTAGACTGTAACAGGCTGCTGCCTACAAACGAACGAACGCGCGTTGTAAGCAGCAGCAGCAACAGCAACAATGCAGTTGAGACACAACAAAAACAATTTATTTGGTGGGGTAGGTAGCTTGCTAGGTATGACAGGCAGTCAGCCAGTCGCTGCGACTGTCTGGTGGTTTTCTCCTCTCTGTGTCTCTAAGAGTTTACTACGAATTGGAAAATACTACGTTTACGCTTACTAGAATAAAATACTAGGAACAAGAACAGCAACAACAACAATGCAAGCAGTGAAAAACTGCATACATCAGCACATGCCACAGTTTATTTTTTTCTGTATCCTGGCATTATCCTTTGGCCGGAAATTCATTTATGCAGTGCTTTCCAAATGAAATGGGGTATTCCGACACTCTGTTATGTTGGTTGTTTGAGTTCCCTTTCATTTTCATGTGTCCTGTAGAAAACCCAGCAAAGAAACTTCAAAAGTTGGGCGGGCCGACTGTATGATACCCTACACCAATATTTAATAGAGCTCTCGTAACAAAAAAAAGTTTATATTGGGAACTTATGTGAAGTAGATAATACCAACTATGAAGCATATTTGTGTATGCGTATCATGGCTTTAGATTAGTAACAATTTGGGAACTATATCCAACTTAGAATCGATTTTCAACAAATTTGACAAAAACTTTTGTGCCTCTAGTACCAAGTAACATTGCTGCATGGTGCATGACAAGACTTCGATAAGGATTATATTAAAAAATATTTGTTGGAGCAATAGCAATATCGGACCGCGTTTCAGCAAAAAAAAGATTCGGTTTAATATGAAAAAAATGTGTCCAATTCGGACTGATATTACACATCCGTAAATTCGGATGAAGATGTATATCGAAGTTATATAAAAATCTGAACCGATCTCGATAAAATTTGGCAGAAGTATTTTAGAGCTATATCTGATGTCCGGCATCAAATATCCTTGTTGTGAAGTGTATATTACGCATGAAAGGGACTTTAATACCAAATCGGATGAAACATATATATGGGAGCTATAGATATATCTGAACCGATTTTCACTAGAATTTGAAATACTTGTTTCTAGGATGAATTCAGTCGGAAGTGCCACAATTTGCTCCATTTGGGCAGGTATTAGCCATTTGGTGCACAATAAACCTGATATCGGATAAAGATATATATGGGAGCTATATCCAAATCTGAACCGATCTTGACATAATTTTAGGCGCATATTTGTGAGCAGTATCTGATTCTGATCTGAAACTGCAACCAACTTCAGACTACTGTCATTTCTAAGTCACTCGTTCGATAGTTGTTAAAATTTTTCCAGTGACAGCTCACTATATTGTTTACAAGTGTACAAAAGCATTTTGATGAGAATTTTCCTGAAGAAATGATATTCGTGATCGAATTCAAGCGATTTCTTCATATTTGGCTGGAATACCACAAGTGGCTATCGTTAGAGCTCTCCAGCATTTAAATGTGAATAAATCTTTTGTGTCTCGTACCATCGCTCGTTACCGTGGTACTGGTAGCGTAGCTCGATGTCAAGGAAGTGGACGGAAGAAAACAGCAACATCAGAAATGGTGCGAAAAGTAAATGAAATGGCCGAAAAATGGCTCGTGAGCTGAACATATCGCAATATTCCATTCGGCAAATAGTGAAAAATGAGATCGGGGTACAGCCATTGAAATTCCAAATGGTGCAAGAACTTACACCGCAATGGAAAGAAAATAGACTCAAAAGAGCTAAAGAGTTGCTTCGCTTGGCCGAAAGTGGTGAACTGTCGAATTTGGTTTTCTCCGATGAGAAAATATTCGTTGCCCAGCAATTTGTAAACAAACGAAATGATCGTGCCAAAGAGGTCAACTGAAAATTTGCACCTTCGGTTGGCCACCACAACTCAAGCACCGGCCATGTTGATGTTGTGGGCCGCCATAACAGTCGAAGATCGCTCTCCGATCGTATTAATCGATCGCGCAAATATTCATTTGACCGCAGACCTTCGACATTCATTTCAACAGGACTCAGCACCATCGCACTCAGCACGCGCCAAAATGATGTTCCTCGCTTCATTTCCAGCGCACAATGGCCACCAAAATCGATAACCTCAAGCAAGCGCTTCGCCGGGAATATGCCAAAATACAGCAGAGCAACATTCGGGCAGGGTGTGACGGCTTCTTTAGGCGTTTAAAGGCCATAATTCGTGCCAAAGGTGACCAATTCGAACAAATCTAAACTTATTCTAAAATTTGATGCTATTTCCGACATTTTTTGCTTTCATTCAATAAAATTAAAAAAAGAAAATGTAAAAATTATGCCGTTTAACTTTGTTGCAGTTTTTTTTATCTCACCCTGAACATGGATTCAGATTCGGTTCATTTGAGCTGATATTTGCCATTTGGTGCACTATATGACTAAAATCGCATAAAGATGTATATGTGAGCTATGTCCAAATCTTATCCGATCTCGATCTAATTTAACAGAGGTATTTTCGAGCTGTATCTGATGTCCGGTATCAAATATTACTGCATGTGAGGGTCTTAAGACCCCAAATAGGATGAATCATATATATAAAAGCTGTAGCTATAACTGAACCGATTTTCCATGTACTTGCTTCTAATTGATGTACTTTCTTCTAGACTGAATTCCGTCGGAAATGCCAAAATTCAGTCCATTTGGGATAATATTGGCCATTTGGTGCACAATTAACCCGAAACCCCGAATACGCCAAAATTCAGGTTATTTTAACTGATATCGGTAATTTGTGGCACAATTAACCCGAAATCGGTTATAGATATATATGGAAGCTATGTCTAAATTTTAACCTATTCTCACCTATTCAAATAGTGTTCGTCCTTGTGCCAAACATTTATTATTTGGAAAATTTCATCTCAATCGGATAATAAATGCGACCTGCATTTTGTTCACAAAAATGCATGGACAAACGGACGGACGGATTCTATGAAGATCCTCCAAAGTTACTATGGGTCTATGTTGCTTCCTTCTCCATGCTACAAATAAATTCACAAAGGTATAATACCCTTACCACTATGTGGTGTAGGGTATAAAAACACATACACACAATCCTCGGTTAGCTACTAAGGTTTCTTAGTAACAATAACAAAAACAACAACTTTATATTGTTCACAAAATGCATCCTATTTAGACAATCCATCCAAGTCACCCATTGCTGCAAAATGTCTTCTTCTTCTTAATTTTTATGGTATCCCCCATTGCATTGCTGGGGCACTGTAACTTTTTGGCGATTTTATATTTTCAAGTACCGTTTTTCTTTTTTTTAGTATCCAAAGGGATTTATGCCATGACCAAAGTATGTTTGTAGTTGCTGGTATTCTTTTCCATGTGTGTGGGTGTATGTGCGTGTATGTGCGTGTGTGTGAGTTTGTGTCCTGTAATGTTTATTTTACATGCAACCCACTTAGCGTAGTGGTATTTTTCTATTGAATTACTCTTAGATTCGTTTTCCGGAAGCTTTATCAAGTTCAATGAACTTGTGGGGGTGGGACGGGGTGTATTCGTTAAATGTAACCAAACAAAGACACACACACACACACTCAGACAGAAGTTATGTTATTTTACTCGCTTGGCTGTGGCAGAGTTTTAGTTAGTCATACCAATTAGAGAGATTTCTATCTGAAAGTATTTAACAAGTTATCAACTTGAATATTTTTGAATATATTAAAAGATTGCTGAAATTACTTCAACTTAGGACTTCAAAGCAGATGTCGACTTGTTTTACTTTCAATCAAAACGTTGGCAATTCGGTTCACAGAATTTCTGCAAGCAGTAAAAATCGATTTTCACAAGCAAATGGAGAAATCGGTTTGGCGACATTTGGTAAATATTTTTAGAGGAATAGTATGAAAATTAAGCAGCAAGGCAAGGTCAAAAAAGTTACTAAATCTGCAAAACACAACAAACAAAATTATGTGAAACTCCATTCAAAAATCGTAAATTTCCACCATCGTATGGAGGATATATTAACCTTGTCATTCCGTTTGTAACTCTTAGACCCCACAAAGTACATAAATTCTTGATCAACATAAGAGTATATATCGATTTAACAATGTCAATCTGTCAATCTGAAGAAATGAAGTAGATGGATACAATTCGATTGGGATGCATTTTAGGCCCGTAGAATTTTTGGTATTGAAAATGGGTGAGAAGAAAAAAATAGTCCGATTTTGCTCCTTTGCAAATTTTGCTTTGCAAATTCCACTATTTAAATTAGTGCCAGGACATGTGAGATATGGACAATATCGGCCCACTCCATCAAGTGCCTCCCCCACAAAGGGTTAAAATTTTCATTAATTATAACTTCTGAATAATGCGAATTAAGAGTCCGATTGTCTTAATATTACACACATTACAATATTTTTATTCACCAAAGGTTAGGTGTGAAAATAGAATATAG